CGGCGGGGCGGGGCGCACCTGAGGGCTACGGGGCGACGCGCTCAGAACTGAAACTGCACAGACCCTCACCCCCTCTCTGCTCGGAACTGACTCTGGGGGCAGGGCGTCCACCCTGTGGGCCACAGCGTCCCCCACCGCGAGGCACCAGCACCCACTTAAAAACGAGGTGCTGCTAGCTCCCTCCCTCCCTCCCTCCTGAATAATTCAGTGCAAAGCCTGTGGGCTGAGCCAAGGCAGCTGGCACACACCGGGCAGGACGGAGGCTGCGGGCGGGCCAGCGGGTGACCGTGGGGCCTGGCGGGGTCAAACCGGCCCGCCTCCTGCTTTGGTACGGCCCGCAGCTAAGCAGGGCGAACGCTTTCCCATGGTTGGAAAAAATTAACAGGATAACAGTTCATGACATGACGTGTGAAAATGGAATGAAGTTCACACTTCAGCGTCCAAAACTACTTTTTAAAAATTTCATCCTCACCCAAGGATATTTCTTTCATTGATTTTTTTTTTAAAGAAAGTCGAGGGGAGGGAGGAAGGTGGGAGAGAGAGAAACATCGATGTGAAAGAGACACACAGTTGCCTCCCACACATGCCCCGACCGGGGCTGGGGATCGAGCCCACAACCAAGACACATGCCCCTGACCGGGAATTGAACCCATGACCCTTCGGTGCACCGGCCGGCGCTCTAACCACTGAGCAACCGGCGAGGCCCAGAACTGCTTTTGCTGGAACGCAGCTCCGCTGTTTGCTCACACACCGTGGCTGCGCTCACGCCGTTCGGCAGCTGAGTGGTCGTGACGAAGACCCGATGGCCTGCGAGCGGGACTCCTGACCGCTGGCCCCGTAAACACGCGTGCCACCCCGGTAGGCGCCCTGCAGCCAGCGCAGCGACGGCTTGTTCTGGCTGCTGAGCCCGAAGTGGAAGTAGACGACGGTGTAGTCGCTCTGCACGTGCTGGTCCAGCGTGTGCTTCAGGTACCTGCGGGAGCACAGCTGTCACCCGGTCACCCTCTCGTTACTATAGGGTGTCCCGAAATTCACGCGAGATTAACAACAACAACAACAAAATAAAAGCCTAATTTTACTTGGTTTATTGAATCAGATTCTAATATCTGTTGCCCTTTGATTTCAATCCCTTCAATTTGATAAGCATTACCAAGTACCAATGATGGCCCAGGAGCAGGGACAAGGAAGACCAATGAAGACCACGGCTTTGCGTATGTGCCAGCAAAGCCGTGGAGGCCATTTACCCGATGTGCTATTCCATACATAACCCTATACTGTATACTTTATGAATCAATAAAAAATTTACAATTTTTAATTATAAACCTGTGTTTTCTATCAAAATTACTTCTTGCGTGAATTTTGGGACACCCTCTATGAAACAAACAGCCCCCCCACCTCCACCTCCGCCCCGGATGGGGTCCCTCACGGGAGGCCCCGCACAGTGAACAGCTGCACCGCTGCTCCCAGCTCCACCTGCGGACGGTGGGCAGGGGATGGAGCGCACAGGCGCCCAGTGCGGGCGGACTTTCTCAGATGGAGGGGAAATGCAGAGCCAAGCGTGACAGCGGACCACTCGGTGGCACTGAGGCGTTCACACTGTCCTGCCACACCCCCCCCACCTCTAGTTCCAGAACGGGTTCCTCACCCCAAAGAAAGTCTGTTCCTGCCCCCCAAACAGCCCCCCACCTCCACCTCCGCCCCCGGACCACCCAGTGGCACTGAGGCGTTCACACTGTCCTGCCACCCCCCCCCCCTCTAGTTCCAGAGT